CAAATTGTTACAACCAAAATTTTTACTTCAGTTAGTGGGGGAAGGATAGGGCCAACAGTGACAAAGAAGTTGATTACTTTTCAATGATAGAAGTAGAAAGTAGAAATATATCTATTTTATCGAGGAGAAAATAAAGTAGACTTTTGAACTGTTTGAAGTGAACAGGATTCCCCTGTGCTGAGTCTGGGGCACAATTTCTCTTTGTCGGATTTGGTGTTTAATTAGTTTCCTGGCATTTTATATAACCTTTTGTATGCCAAGGATCTTGTTGAGTTTTGCCCCAACAGTGATCCCCTCTGTCTATTACTAAGCATGCTCCCACAAGTGTTAGTGCCGCTACTGCAGTTGGAGTTAACCGTGTGGCAGCTAACATCCCTACAGACAGGCGCAATAACAACAATGATTGATTAGGCTGGCCTATTTACAAATTTGGTGTAAATTTAATATAATATTAATTTTGATTATCAAAAACTGAATTTATTAAGTGTTTTCAACACAGTCAGTGATGCCTTCGAGTGAGTTAAATCAGTTTCATGTTGCAGTTGTATTTTTCATCCAGTAGTGCATCATTAAATGAGGTCACTGTAATAGTGTTGTGGCGTAGTGGGTTAACCTGTGGCCTGAGACAGCTGCATCCCTTAAGAGCACTGGTTCGAGTCCCAGCTGTTCTGCTTCTGATCCAGATCCCCGCTAATATGCCTGGGAAAGCAGCAGCAGAGGGCCCAAATACTTGGATCCCTGCCACCCATGTAGGAGATCTGGATGAAGCTCCTGGCTCCCGGCTTCAGCTTGGCTCAGCCCTGACCTTTGTGGCCATTTGGGGATTGAACCAGCAGATGGAAAAATTTTTGTTTTTCTATCTTTCCCCTTTTCTCAGTCAGTCTGCTGCTTTTCAAATAAATAAGTAAGTCTTTAAAAAACAAATAGATGGGGTCCTACATTTTTCAAGTCCAACCTAAAATACCTCTGATAGCTTGCTTTTTTTCCTCTAAGCCTAAATTTCTCTCATCACTTGTACATCAATGTAATTCTATTTCATTTTCCTCCTTTTTTTTTTTTTACAAAGTTGAGGTAAAGGATGTTTACCTGGTTTAGTGTTTTTGCTAACGAAATAAGTTATTCTTAGCTTTAGAAAATTTCTTAACCAATTAAGAAATCAGGTGAATGTTAAAAAAAAAGTTCATTTGATTGGCCCTGGTAGAGAAAGTGGCTTTTAATGATCCTTTTGATCTTTCTGAATTTTCAAAAGAAGCTATGGGGAATAAGAAGTTGAAACAGCTAAGAAAGGCAACATGGCCACTGACCCACACCTTCTAGATCCCAGTACCTTTACACTTGCAAAAGCGGAACAAACAACCCCTGATGTGAGCTGTGGTCTTTGGGTGATGTGTCAGTATGGGCCCACACCTGCTTGCTGTGCTTCCCTGGCTGTTAATTTAATAGTAAAGCAAATGGATGGTTCCTATTGGGTTCATCAAGGAGGTTTGGGTTTTGCAAACAAAAACTTAAAAATATCAAAAATTCCATTTTCAACGTGTAAGGTGCTGGGTTTCTAGGTTTCTATTGCAGTTGATGCTGCAATAGCTCTCTGCCCTCCTTGTAAGGGTGATCTGTGTAGAATCGGCTCTCCACATATTCGCAGCCCTGTTCCTTGCTTTATTTAGCTTAATTATTTATGATTTGTCAGATGTTTTACAGGAAGTGTGTTGAGACAACAATTTAAGTCCACACACTCGGTTCTACCTGGATCTTCCAAAGTAGATTATCCCTGTTTGAGCAGCAAACCAACAATGAAGTTTAAGTCTGGCTAATGAATGCACAAAAAAAAAAAAAAAAAATTTACACTTTGTTTCTGATTTGATGATCTTAGTTGAGTCAAATAGTGTTTTCTGGTAGCTCTGTATTATGTTAATACCTGGGATGCCTATGTAAGTTAAGTTTACTAAAGTTTCTTATCAAAATTCTGCAGCTGTCTTGTGGTTTTGTTTTCATGGCACAGAAAGGATGAAATCCAGAGAATATAGGTTTTCTCTTTGAGGTTATTTAAATGCAGTTGACATTTTAATGTGCATTAAGTTTGGACCCCCACACCACATACGTTTTTAAGACTGGTTCCTTGGCTTCCCTCAGTGGTACAGTGCCTGAAATGAACCTGATTTTGAAACTTTCTGCCATTTCCTGGGATAATGAGAGGAGTATCCAGAGAACCCCACATATCAATAGTATATCTCTAAATGATAAGATACAATGCCTAGTAAAAGTAGGGTTCTTGGTTACTTAACTCTTCTTAACCACCCTTATAGAAATATGACTTCCATGTAGAGTTAACAATTTGCTAACACCTTCTTCCACTGAACTTACTAAGATAGGTTTGTTTATTTGTTTTTGTGATATTATTCAGGCAACAGTAATTATGGGAAAACAAAAAGAGACTTAAGTGACAAAATGCTTTTGTACACAGAGATCTTATTGAAGATTAAGCAATTATGTGGAGCAGGGCGCCTTGAGAGCACAACCTGGTGTTTCCCCTCTCTCTGATGAAGACAGATTTCCCTGCATTGCTCTCCATGCCTGTTATATCCTCTTGAGCCCAGTGCCCTCAGAGCCGTTTTTCTTGTCTTACTTGGCTTTGCTTCCATCAGTCATGCCCAATGCCTCTACCTTGTGCTCAAGGCCCTTAACACACCAGGACGGCAACAGCCAACCAACGCTGTTGTTTTACCACTTTCCAAAGCACCCTCTTCTTTAGCCAGACAGTATCCCCTCCCCTTCCTAGATTCTCCCTCTTTGCCTAATAAACTTTAACTCCTCCTTCCAGACCAGCCTGAAGTGGCAGCTCATCTATGGCGCTTCCCTAGATTCTCCTGGGTTGGGTTTGTTTGCTTCCTGCTGCAGGTTCCCACAGTGCTAATCAAGTGACAGCATCATTTGTGGCTCACCTTTGTGCTCCTACCAGAGGGTGGATCTTTAGGTCTGGAGCTGTGGTTCAAGGACTTAGGTCCAGTTTTCATTTGTGGTGAGCCCTGACCAAGTTGTTCAGAGATGCTCAGGGAATGAGTAGAACTATAATATAGTTGTTGAATAAATCAATATATATGTTTAAAGTATGAACCTTGTTGTCGCTCCCCCTCTTCATGGAGGAACGACACAGGACCCTGCGCTGTTCTTTTGTCTGCTCGGCCCTCCCCGGTTTGCTGCTGGTTCTTCCCGGGTTGGCTACCGACCCTTCCACCTCCGTGGAAGGGCGGTTCCCCCTGCCACTTTCCCCACTTCTGCGGGGGAGTGGCACACCACCGGCCGGCTCTCTCGGGGGCTGCTCAGGTGTTCCTCAGGTGTTCCTCTTAGATGTTCCTGGTGGATGCCGTCTCTCTCCTCCTTTATAGACCTCTTCCGCCAATCCCAACTCTGCTACCCACACGCCGAGTACACTGCTCTCCTCCAATCAGGAGCAGGTCCTGCTGTTTATTGGTTGAACTGGAGGCAGCTGTGTAGAAGCTGTTTCCTCCTCTCCCAGCGCCATATTGTGGGAGAGCAGATGCATAGAATAAGTCTTAATTCCAGTAACAGTCTAGTCCGAGTTGCTCCCCACACTTGCTAGTGCTGAAAGTCATCATTCAGCTTCCACATCCTGTTCTGTACTTATCCAACTATCATGCCCACTTCTTTTTGGGGAAAAATTTAAAAAACACTGTTATCTCTTATTAAACAAGCATTGGCTTTAATACAGAGGGAAATGTTTAAGACGGATACGTCTTAGAAACTACCAAAAAGGAAGACTTAAGTCTCCTTTCTGGTCATTCAGCAAGAAGAGCCTCAGGTTTTGGTAGCAACTCTAGGGAAAAGTTTACAGATTCGCTGAATGTAAGAAATGAAAATGCAGGTAAAAACTAAACACAAGTATGCTTGTGAGCATAAGTATGTTCTGTTTGGTTATTTCAGCTATAAAATTCTGGTGTGTGGAAACATGGCTTTTCTCGGAGTTTGGTCAAAGAGAGATGATTGCAGAATCTCAAACATTGTTGACTTAAAATTGAAAGTATTGGTCATTTAAAAATGCATGGATTCAGATAATCATAAGATCATGATATAAGGAAGATATAAATTTGTTTATGAAACATTTGAACTCTTCCAGACTCAGAATGATTTCCAAGTGTGTCGCTAAGGACTTCTGAGAATATTTAGCCCCTTCTAGAAGTAAACTCAGAAGACAGAGTGATTGGTTTTTGAGTTTAGTCTCGTATTCAGTCTCCTAATTTTTTTGAACTATGAAAATCCTGTAATATATACAGAGGCTGGTTTATAAATAATTACATAAATTGGAAACTTGGAACTTAAAAAATATGGTATTTCTTATTTTTAAAAACAGGTTAATGTTTAAATATTTGGCCTCAATAGAATAATGACCCAGATTTCTGGTCTCAGTGAGACTTTCTTTTTATTTTTTTTATTATTTTTTTAAGGATTTATTTTTTATTTATTTGAAAGAGTTACAGAGAGAGGTAGAGACAGAAAGAGTGAGGGAGAGGTCTTCCATCCATTGATTCACTCCCCAGATGGCTGCAGTGGCCGGAGCTGCACCGATCCTGATCCAAAGCCAGGAGCCAGGAGTTTCTTCCAGGTCTCCCATGTGGGTGCAGGGGCCCAAGTACTTGGGCCATCCTCCACTGCTATCCCAGGCCACAGCAGAGAGCTGGATCGGAAGAGGAGCAGCCGGGACTAGAACCAACACCCATATGGGATGCTGGCGCTTCAGTCCAGGGCATTAACCCGCTGCGCCACAGAGACTTTCTTTTTAACTGATTGTTTGTTAATATTTGTAACACTTATGCAACATAAAGATTCTGAAAGCATTCTGTTTTTTTCAGAACATATCTATTTCAAATCTATAGTCTATAACTGCTAGGGAGTTTATTTCTACTCTGTCGTAGAAGTGACTTTTGGTTATTGCCACCAATAGCCTAAGAGACCTAAACTTACTCTTCTTCTTGTATTACTTGTAGGTACTATGGTCTTTGGAATTGGGTCACTGGATTTCCGAAGAGCCGTTTGAACTGTCTAACTACTTCCCTGCAGCTCCTGTAAGTCAGATGTTTTATGAATGTAAATGCAATTGGTATTCTCAGGAAATTATCTTAATTTTGGGGATACATTGACCTTTTAGGTCAAGAGCAATAATGCCATTAAGCAAAAAGACATATGTGACAGAACTTAATATGTTTTATCTGTTTACTTGTGAGGATACTCTGCAAAAAGTAGAAATGTTAATTAAGAGAGCCCTCAGGATTGAGGAAAAACAAACATGAAAAAAATAAGATTCTTGGGGCCAGCGCCGCGGCTCAATAGGCTAATCCTCCACCTAGCAGCGCTAAACAGAACAAAACAAAAAAAAATAAGATTCTTGGGAAGCCTATTGTGTCTTGCCTACTGTCCAAAATTTAATTCTTTTACTGTTGATGTAGATAGAACTAATGGGTATAAAATCGTGAGTTGCTAGCATCATGATGTTGTCTTTTATTTTGATGTTTTTCCTAAACTCCACTTCAGCTTTACTATGGACTTTAAAATACTTCAGATGCCTAATGGAAAAGTTTCAGGTCTTAATTTTCTACAGGATTCAGTAATAATTTAGTGTGTAAGTTTTAAGATTTGTTTAGAAGCAAGAATTTGCCGAAGTTGGTTTTTAATTTCAAAAATGTTAACTGGCTTGTGATGGGGGTTATTCTTTGAGAAGGTTCATACCTTAAAGGTAAGTGGTGACTTTTACCTCAGCCAGTCTCCTTGCTGCTTGGTTGTTTGAAGAGCTGTCAACCATAACACAAAAAATGTTGAATTCTGTGCTCTGTTCACTGTCGTTATCTCGGTTGTTGGATGGTTTCTCTTTTGATTTTTAAGATTACTGTTGTGATTTCCTTTCAACTTTGTAAATATTTTCTTAGGGAGAAAAAAAATTTCTCCCAGGAAGAGTGTGTGTTTGAAACACTGTGTAAAGGAATTGAAGTGTAAAGTAAAAACATAATTTCCGTTCATTCTCTGTGGTCATATGAGATTATATTTAACTCTGAATAATAGAATCGGGTTTGCCTTTGAAATTCACTCTACCTGTCTGTGTTGGAGTTGTCATAAATAAGTATGTTGTTGCCAATTTTCTCCATGCTGTCTTTCCCCAACCTCAGTATCTGTCATTGTGGTCACTGAGATACCGCAAACTCGATGAGGTCTTTTGAAGCTGTGAAAATTTCTTGTTATCAGAAATGTTTAACTTGATGCTGTGCCATGATGCCTCTAATGAGTTTATATCTCTCTCAAATTTAGAAATAGTTCTAAAATAAGAAGTTCTTTGCTTAATTAAATAGTTGCCGGGAAAGTGCAAAATGGTGGAAATGGAACAGCACCTGGTCTTTGCCAGTGTCCACAGATTGACTCAGAACACAAGGAACTCGTCCAACCATGTCTGAGGGGAATGAAAGGGTAATGTGAATTACAGAGGAAAAATGGCTTACAGGCAAAGTAATAGAACAGTGGAAGGTGAGGGAGACCTGCAGTGAATTCTGGTTACAGATTTGACTCTCAACTTCTCATCACTTGACTCAAAGACAGACATGTGAGAAATTGTTTGCAAATTAGAAAGTTTTGCACAGGTGTTCATTAGCATTAATTGTACTCTTAAAAACTTTAGAAGAAGGTAAAATTCTAGCAGTGTAGGATTCGGGGGTCCTGAGAGTGAAGCCGTGTTTCTCAAAATGCTCTCTAAACATTTGAACATGTTCTGAACATCAGGTTTTGTTTTTGCATCCAAAACTCTCCAAAACATTTGCTTTTCCTTTTGAGTTTGCTGACAGATGTAAAAACGTCTTAGTAGTGCAAATTATTTTTTTCCTTAAATAAATTTAGGGGTGGTTCTTGAGAAGTATAGCTTTGTAAGTGTCTTGAATAGACATTTTTTTTTCCTCAAACAAATTAATGCTAACTTAGTTTTCTAAAGCACATCTTACTAGAAGAGAACATAGGTCTCTGTATTGGATTAGGAAAACATAATACAGTCTCTTTTTCAGGGAATTAAATGTATAATTTTTTTATCAATAAAATCAAACTTTTCCTTATGCGGCACAACCAGTTGTTTCATAACAGAATTACAAAATTGTAAATATAACTGTCAAAGTTAAACATAATTTTCTCACCTAATAAGTTATATTTAATTACTAAAAACACTTTCATATTTAACAGCCAGGCAGAAAAAAATAGTACAATCTTCATATAAACTAAAATGGTACACATTTCTATAGGTGTTATCAGAGATCCTGGAAATTTTCACCTTTTATGAACTTGAAATATGTATTTGAGCATTAACTTAAAACTAAGCTGTCAAAATATGTGTAAATACGCAGCTTTCAAAATGAAAATTTGAAGCACCTAAAAGGAGGAGCAAAAGTGCACTAACTATGCTTTTCCAAATATTAAACGGCTAATAACCACTGCTGTATTCTCCCTGAATATATAGTATATTTTTATGGCTTAGAGGATATTTCCTTCCTTTTAATTGTGATAGTGATGCTGAATTCAGAACATAAGGATATTTACACAGTCTATAAACAGTGCTTACAAGAATGCAGTTCCAAGATTATCTGTACTATACAACATAAGTGTTCTGTTTTCCAGTTATTTACTGATAAACTCGCACATAGCATTCTTGGTTGTGACAGCAGAGTCTGTGAACTGTCAGTCTCTCAACCTTGAACTCATCTTCTCCTAGGTGTCCACTACATCACCACGCCAGATCATGGCCTGTTTTGAGTTTTGCTTTGGTTCATTAAGTGACAAAGTTCACGGGCGCTGGTCTGAGGACAGGAGTCCCACAGGCTCCGGGAGTGCTGTCCAGGCGGCTGAGGAGACAGCGTACAGCGGTGCCTTGCAGTGCTTTGGGGTGGATCCGGAAGTGTACAGCACGGTCTTCCTGGGTGTGCACGGGCATTTAGAAGTCTGCTGGTCGGATCATCATGGTTGTGGCCTTGAGCGAGTAGCCTGACCCTTTCCAGTAGTACCACTTAATACCATTGAACTTATTTGTGTTCTGCCTTTGTGGATAGTACATTCCGTTCAAGTTGGAAGGACCACATGCATCAAACCACCAGCCTGTGAAAAGTAAAACACAGTTGGAATTAGGAACTAGGTAAGGACAGCTCTGACCGTGGAGGCAGTAATACTCAGCTGCACCATAGTCACATCCCGTGCATTTAAAGTAGGTGTATGCAAATCCTCATGTGTGTAGAAGGCACTGCATTGGCAGAAGTGTGGCTTTCCAACTCTGCTCCCATGCAGCCGGAGTGCTGTCTTGGCCAGTGCTGCCACAAGCTTGCTGGCTCCTTTTTGCTTGAGCTTTGTGGAAAGACCTATTTTCTAGGCATGCCTCCTCTTAATCCTGATTTGGTGATGCCCCACACAATGGGAAGTTTGGATGAGCAAAACCTAGAACCATTGAAGGACTCTGGACCATACTCCTGGAGACTCGGCCAACTCAAGCTCCCCTGTACCAGGAGTTGCTTTGAAAGTTGAACGATAACCCAAGATGTTAAGTGCTCAGAGGAGTTAAATGGAAAGCAGTAGAGAGCTTGTTAAACTGTAGGTAAAACCACAGAGAGTACCTGCACAACTGAATGAGGGTGCAGCCCTATCCACACCTTCATCCCCAAGCAGAGCCTACAGACAGGAGCCTGCCAGGGCCAGGCTTTCGAGAGAAAGCAGTGACCCGTCTGGACTGCATGTGTCAGTCTGAATAAGTCTCACAAACCCTGTATTGAAGGGACAACATCCTACCCGTCAACACTGATAGCGATTTTTAAGATACTGAAAACAGTAACACAATCATTATTGAGATCACTGTAGTAAAATAAAGAGAAGGAACCTCGTCCCCAGTGGCAAATAAGGAATGGTCTTGGCAGGGCAGCTTCTGCCTCATCCGACTTTAAAAATACATATAAAATGCTTGCACCGTGGAGCGTGTGTTGTTTTGCCTGGGTGCCTCCGTTCTTTGCCGACAGTGAGCGTCCTGTGACTTGTGTGATGCCGGTTGATGTAAATGTGCTGAGGTTCGGATGTGTGGTACAGGATTATCCTGAGCCTTAGCTCTGCTCTCTTTGGAGCCTGTTGTGTGACCTATCTTGAGAACTCACTGTCCATGCAAAACACTAGCTGCTCGTCAGCCCATTTCGTTCCTGGTCCAGATCAGTGCTAGGAACTTGGCCTCTTTACAGTCGAGACCATTTTGCTTTCCCTCTTGGGCTGTGTTTCCTCTCCCCAAGTCTCCTTTCCAGTTCCATTCTCAGCCCCTAAATCTTGATTTGAGTAAATAAATACATTGTTCCCTTGGTTATTAATGTCGTTCTGCTCTCCTGAGTAGCTCACAACATCGGGGTGGTCTGCAAACCACCAGGCTTGGAAAACATTGTGAATGTCTGGCGCCCCCAGCCCATTCCTCCTCCCTTTGGTTGGCTTTAAAAAGGATGCCTATATTAAGTTGAGGACAGCAAGCAGCTTTTTATAAAAGTCACTGTGATAGCTTTCTCTCCTTGAAATAGTTGTAACAGGGAAGATTTGTGTAGATAAGGGTACTTCAGAAATTTCATAGACAATGCCTATTATGAAAAAAATCATGCATGGACTTCAAAAACAACTTTTGTACCAAAATGAACTTATGTTTTAATTCTATTTTTTCATGAAGTTTTTGAAATTACCTCTTATCATTTCAGAAACTGTAGTATTTTTTGATGGAGCCCAATTCCCTCCACTTTAAAGACATGAAAATTAGTGAATTCCTTATTATTTTCATAAATAAATCCTCCTTTTTTATTACAAATGGTTCTTACCTGGAGTAGAAATACACTGTAAGGTTAGATCTTTAGTGTCTATGCAGTAGCTGATATTTGTAAAATATTTTGGCCGTAAGCCACTACCTTTGGTTTTCCTGGGTGAGCGTTCAGTTTGTGTGCTCCCCAATTCAAACCCTGCCAATTCCTGTCCACGCTCATGGTGGAGTGTCTGTTGCTATTTTACATCTCCTGATATTTTTAAGAACTAACTTCACAGGGCTTGCCAGACGTCTTGTGTCATTAACTACTTTTTGCTTTCTGTTACTCAATTTCTAAACTTCCAAAAATCAGACAAATAAGTATCAGCTTTCTGATACCGCTGAACTCTGAATACTGTGTCAGCCATCTAAAGACACTGCTGTAACAGTCTTTTACTTTAGGGAATAGTTTCCATTTTCATTTTTAAAGCAATCTGACACTGATGCTGGAAAACAAGAGAGACCTTAACTTAAAAATGGACAGTAACTTGCTTTCATTTGATGGATCAGAAAAGCAGTGTGGTTGGTTTGTGCCTCTGTAGTTATGCTCATTTGCTGTGTTATCAGTAATCCTTAAAAGGCAAATCCCTTGCTTGAGCGTTACTCTGTTAATTGGAAATATTCCTGTAGTAATGCAGCTTTGTCATCCTTCTGGTTGCCATTTTGAATTTTTTTATAAAGCAGGGTGGAATCAAGTCTGTTCCTCAGCAGGCAGACTCAGGAGAGCCCACTGCGTGTCTGGGTCCCTGGCCAGACTGGTCCTGCGGAGACAGTCTCCTGCTGAGGATTCCAGCTCCATGGCACACATCGCATCTTGAGAGCGAAGAACACGCTCACCTATGTGAATGTTGGACCCTGTCACCAGTCACAACTGGAAGTCCATGTCCACCTCCCCCTCCATGAAGCTGTTCCTTGCCAATACAAATAGGAAGACAAAAAAGTCATCCCTACCTCCTGTTAGCATTTGTGAACATTTGCAAATGCATTTGTCATTGTCTGCATCCTTTGTGCTAAAATCATTTCCTGGTTGGCTGATGCTGCTTATTTTGCCGGCTGTCCCCGTAAGTCCTTTAAGGTGAATCCTGGAAGCATGCAAAGGAAAAAATAAAAATTGTCATGGGCTAGGGTTGTTGATTTACCATCGTGGAAAGTTTTCCTGATGAAGAATTCCATTCTGCAGAAGCTTGTGTTGTGCTGTTTGATCTGTGCACTCAGATGCCTACTCTGGACAAAATATTTTGCACCGGTATAAACAGGAACCAACTTATCATCAAAATCATGTAGACAGGGATGTTTTCACAAAAATGTCAACACATAGCACTTGCACAAGTATCAGCAGCAACTGTAGGGCCCTGTAATTTATGTTCCTGCTGTTTTCACATAAACAGAAGGGGCGGGGTGGAGATGGGGGGTAGGGAGACACAGCAAGAGAATCTCTCCCATCTCCTTTGTCCTCATCCTGGTTAGAGGGAAGGGCCTCAGATGACTGGACAATCCTAGACACTATTGTTTTCTGCAGGGATGGCTCCAAGGTGGGGAGGGCAGCAGACATCAGGGAGTGGGCATGGAGTTTGGTGTAGAAATCTGCAGAACTGGGACGGATGTAGCATAACAGGTTAAACCACCACCAGTGATGCCGGCAACCCATATGGGTGCTGGTTCTAGCCCCAGCTGCTCCACTTCTAATCCAGCTCCCTGCTAATGTGCCGGAGGGAGGGGTGGGGAATTGTTGGATGTCCCAAGTGCTTTGGCCCTTGCACCCATGTTGGAGACCCAGATGAAGCTCCTGGCTCCTGGCTTGGGCATGGTTCAGCCAAGGCCATTGTGGCCATTTGGAGAATGAACCAACAGATGGAAGATCACTCTCTCTCTTTTCTTTCTCTCCCTCCCTCTCTGTAGCTCTACCTTTCAAAGAAATAAAATCTGCAGAGCTGTGCAGATAATAAACTCTAAGGCTGCTTTGCTTGATTGCTACACAGCACTACAATAAGCCTTTTTCAGTGTGGAGAAAGAAACAAGTACCACACTAAACCACTAGACACCAACAGCCCAGACTTTGGAAATATTGCTTATCTCCATGATCTGTGTGCCAACAAGCAGAAAACAAGGTCAAGAAGAATGTGTGATTTAAAAAAAAAAAAAAAAAAAAATTCCCATAATGTGCTTGAGTCACTGCTGCAAAAAAGCCCTTTGGCAGATGGTTCAGTTCGGATGAGCTTGCGCTCAGGTGGTGAGGACAGCTGTGGTCAGTGTGATGTCACTGTGCTAGCTCACAGGGCCTGGCACACTGAGTCCCCACATCCTGGTGGAGATACAGTCACATGAAAACCAGACAGGAATTCCATGGGGCAGAATCCTGCAGTGGGGGGAGGAGAAGTGTCCTGTGGGTCCCTCAAATTACACTTGTTTTTGTGGACGCTGCTGGCCTCTGCTGACCACTACCTATTGTAATTTTCAAGGATTCATATTGGGACAGAGTACAGAGAGCATAGGAAAGGTCAACCCACTTGGATGCATCTGCTCACATAGGTGGTCCTGAATGTGCGTGGCAACCCCTAGAGGCGGGCGCCATGGAGGTTCAGGGATGGGAGCTCAGCCAGGGGTAAACTCCTAAATTGAGAGGCTTGGATCTGCACAATGACCTGACTGTGCATACCTTAATCCAGTTGTTTGTGTAGTGAGGAAGAAGTCCTGTAGAGATCGGGGTGTGGAGCAGAGTTCCTTGAGCGTGAATCTTACGTAACTCTGGGGTCACTTAGACTTATTTATTTATTTTTTTTTTAGCAGAGTAGCATAGAAGTTTCATCACAGGGCACTAATGGTCTGAATCTCAACGTTTTTCTGCGTTATCAAATACGAGGCTGACCCCTAGCACAATCTCTAGATGCTGGCTGCACAGAGTCAGTTTCATAAGCACCCAGCATCGATGTGGTTTTCAAACACTTGGCTTTCCTTCCAGCCTTGTCTCATTGATCATGGACTTGAGATGAGCTACCCTTGCTTGGCCCCCTTTTATCTCTCATGTCTGCTCTGGGCAATTTCAGCTCTCATGGAACTCATTAAACGTCCCCAAAGGCAAGCAAAATAAGGGAGAATACTATTTTTTATTAGCCTGTGTTAGAGAGGTTGTGTAATTTTAGATCATTTTGTGGCTCACTGGTTTAAAGTGCTTTCTTTTAATATTTGGCTATTGAGAGTAGCTGCATTCTTGACATTGCTTTAAATGGGTTATCAGTTGATTTTATATAGCAGTGAAGTAAACTGTCAGAATGTGAAAAGTGGCCCATTTTTAAGGTTTTATGGACAAATAGCTTATAATTTTGTTAAAAAGAACCATGTCTTATTGATGCCTTTGTCTGTTTCCTATAACATATATTGTTCAGTTTTCCAATATTTGGGAAACACTTCCTTAGGAAAAAACTACTTCATATAGTTGGCATTCTGAAATGTAGTGCTCAAAAGTTTTAGTCATGTCATTCACTTAACACACGGACATCATATTTTATTAGGAGAGTAATTTTTGATGAAATGCTAACTTTACATTGCCAAGTCAATTGAGCTCACACCACTGTGTGTTTTTTTTAAATGGCATATTCAAAAACTGATTGAATTTCTAAAGGAAATATCTGTTAAGGCTCATCCCAGCTTAAAGTATTTTTAGAATGTCAGCATCAAAGGGTAATGACCCATTTTGTAAAATCGTCCTATACAAACAAGCTAATCCTTAATTTTGTGTTTTTTTTTTCTTTTTAATTCCTCTGTTGAAGATTTCTAACTCTTGCCAGTTGAGAAAATATTTAGCTTGGAGGGAAAACAATGACCACTTGCACTCGTGTCTCAAAATTCATTGGAGTCAAGTTGGACCTGCTGTGAGGCCCAAGCACCTATCTTTCCATTCTTCTGGGTTGCCGCCTCTACAGGCGAGCCATGCTCTCTCTGTGGTGAACACCGAGGCAGCAGGCTTCATGGGCCTCTGAAAGTCACATCGGCTTTTGCTAGCTTTCCAAAGCATGCATCTGCATTTTGGTGCATCATGGGTAACACAGGGCACACTGATACTTGTGGTTCTGTGTTACTCAGGTGCCCTGACTGTGAAAGCCCGGTTTCCTCTGCTTGTGCTTTGTGCCCTTGCTGTGGGAAGTCAGCTCAGGACTTGGAAATCACCTTTCTTTTCCACACAGTTCAGATATTGGGATTTCTGTTGAGCAGAGGGTCTGATCTGGGCATTAAGGAAATTGGAAGGGACTAAAGACCAGATAATGAATGTTTTCTGGAATGTTCCCATTGAACTTGATTTTTCTCTCCCTTCTTACTGGGGGTGGGTATTTCACGGTGTCTGTTCCACCATCAGCACACACTGTTGCAGAATGGTGTTGGTGATAGCCATTCTTAGACTACCCGGCACACACCCTCCCTTCCCTCTGTCCCTCACATGCAGTTAACAGTGCCTCCATGTATTCATGTACTGGCATTGTATTCATGTCTTGCATATACCTTGTCAAATCCCTTTGCTGCTATCTCAACTCTTAAGGCGTTTTAGACCAGCAAGTAAATTCCTAGTTGAGGTTGCCCGTGGACAGGCAGGTGCTCAGAGAGCACAGTGAATCTGATGTTCTCCGTAGCACTCCCACCTAATTCTGCCATTTTTAAGCTTGGCAACTAATCAGGGAATGAATGCAGTTGAAAGTTTAAACTTGAAACATAGCTTTAAAAATTTCTTGGAAGAAAACAATATACAAACATACTTCAAATAGCTCATGAAAATAGAATTTAAAGATAAGTTTATTTTGGTGCAAAAAAAATTCTGAAGTCCATGCAAATAAGGGGTCTTCAGAAAGCTCATGAAAATACATACGATGAAAAAACAATGCATGGATAGTCTCTCTGAACTTGCTAATGCATAGCTTTCCCATTTTTTTTTTTTTTGCATCAAAATAAACTTATCTTGTAAATGTATCTTTCTGAGCCCGTGAAGTACCCTGGTAGTCTCAGGTACAGCCACATGATATTCTGTGGTAGACGCTTAGCACTCATCCACTGCAGTTACTTATGATCCCCAGTGATCCACCAGAGCGGAGTAGAATTTCAGGACCAGCAAACACAGCAGGAAAAAGGACTCCTCACGAAGTTTGCCTTATATGGTTATAAGCAAAGTTAGAATTTTAAAACTAGAGAAACTTAGCTAAAGAGTTTAATAACTCTAACACACATTTTTTTTCCGTTTTATGATACTCTGAGTAGTTTACACCCTGCTTCAATGAATATGGCTCTCACTTTCTTGAATAATCACCCAGAAAAATCCCCTAATTTTTTTCAAATTATGATTAATTTACTCACCGATAATTGAATTCCTCACTTGAGAGGTAGAAATGTTCATACAATGAGTAAGCTTCATTCCCTTCCCAGTCTCTTAGGTGTATTTTAAGCACATATCTCTGCTGATTCGTCAGTTGGGAAACAAACTCGTTTCCCAGCCAGTGTTCTCCCGAAGGGTTACCAAATCCCTGTAATCCAAGTTGTAAAAGTCACTTATATCATTTATTTTTTCTTTAGGTATCTGAAATCAACAGTTCATCACTTTAGCATGGAATAAGATCAGACAGCAGAAATTACTTTCTGGACTGTGAAAATTCGAGGCCTTTCCATATAGCAAAATAGATTACATTGTAAAAGGTCAGTTTTAAGAATCTAAGGTGTTCCTGGAAGAATTACCTTTTGTATAATTAGAACTAGTTGGGGAAGCAACTGTGCAAACCTGAGTGTGAAGAGCTAAGTTTGCAGGTGTACAGAGCACCATAAAGAGCAGTCTACCAAAAAGAGCCGAGCCTGGCCCTAAAAACAAGGCCCATTTATGCTACTGTAACTCCAGTGCGGAGGAACTTCTTGTTGAAAAAACTGCACCAGAAGTCAGTGGTTAGTTTTGCATTTGTGGGTAAGGCTCTGAAGATCTTGAAAATTAGTTTTCACAGAGGAAATTATTTCTTTTCAAATAGCTTAAAGAATAGCCATACCACTTTATATTCTTTCCACGTCCTCTGGAAATCAACGCTGCCATCTTCCCGCCGCTGAATGGTCGTCCAACCACCACCGCCCGTTTCCATGTCGCAGTAGGCCTGCCAGGGGGACACAACATTACTACCACAGGGAGTGCACTGGTAACCCAGTCTTTGTCTTAAGTACCAGAAACAAAATGGATGTAGACACCTGTTAGACCACTCAGCCAGCAGGGTTCCGTGGGGTTAGGCCTGGGGTGAGTGTGTGTGTGTGTGTGTGTGTGTGTGTTTAAGAAATAAGTGGCATTAAGTAAATTGAAAGTGCTGATTTTGAAATGGTGATATGAAATAAATAGTAATGTTATGTGACATAGTAATGAAAATATGATTTTCTTGTCACTGTGTGTTCCAGAATAAAGACCCCGCCCATAGCTGACCCCAAAGCCTGATTGGACCTCACTGATCCAACAAGGGGAAACGCTTGTTCATTGCACCAAGTGCTGGTCCCTGTCAGCTCTTCCGAGGGCCACAGAGAGGGGATTTGCTTTCACTGTGGCGTCCTGCTGTGTTCTGAAGCTTCGGAGCCTCAGAGAGCATCTCATTTCATCCCTGAGCCCCAGGCCCGGGCTCCCATGTGCCCGGCCGTGTGACCGTATGATGCTGGTTGCAGGTTTCTCAGCACTTTGCTTGCCACCGTGGTCCTTCTCTACCTAACTCTTTTTATTTCTGCTTTTCAACTGGCTCAGTAGGTTTAAACTTTGTCCAGAGCACAGAATTCTTTGTCGGGGTAAGAGTATACATGCTCAATTTCAGCCCAGCTGGAATTTTATTATGAAATTTAAAACCCCTGAAAATAAGATTACATAGTTGTTTTTTTTTGTTTGTTTGTTTGTTTGTTTTTTATGATCCATTGTATGTATTTGAAAGGCAGAGTTACAGAGAGGGAGAGAGAGACAGAGAAAACAAGGGAGAAAGAGAGAGATCCACCGTCAGCTGGTTCACTTCCCAAATAGTTGCAACGGCCAGGGCTGGGCCAGGCCGAAGCCAGGAGCCTCCTCCAGGTCTCCCTCATGGTTGCAGGGGCCCAAGGATTTGGGGCATCCCCCACTGCTTTTCCCAGGCACATTAGCAGAGAGCTGGATCAAAAGTGGAGCAGCCAGGACTCAAACTGGCGCCCACATGGGATGCTGGTGTCACAGGAGATGGCCTAACCCGTTACACCACAATGCTGGCCTCCATAAATAGTTTCACATAATGAGATTATAAAAAGCAGAAAATGGTTTTCAGAAAGTAAGAGCATTTCCCTACAGCATACAAGGTATAACCTGTTCTTCCTCTGTTGTTTCCTATGGTCTTTTTGAAACTAATGCAGACAGTTTTGGCACCCTAAGCTTAAAAGTGTCTGTTTTGTAGTTACGAGATAGAGTGCTAGGGAAGGGAGCTAAGAGAGATCCAAGAGAACACCCGGTGCTATCCTTTGCTTTAATATGTGCATAAACATGGGCCCAAGGACCCAGCAGCTCTCTGGGGTCTCACTGCCGGTGGAGTGGGAGAACCGAGCAGGGGGACTGCCCCCGGAACACCCCGCTTTGCACAGGCTCCAGTCTGCCGTTAATCCTGTCTCTCTCCCTCTCTCTCTCTCTAGGAAGCCCAAAGGGCTCATCTTGCCTTTCCCAATGATCTTCCTGTCTGGAAAGACAGATGCCATTGAATAAATTTGCATTTATTAGTAAGAAAATTATTTCCCCATTTAAAATGAGTAAGAAAAAGTTGATCTGCTGGAGTGTGCGTAATACTGTTTCTGATGTTGTCATTGCTGCACACCGGTCCTACAAGTGCTGTGCCACAAGTGCTGTGCCAGATGCTCTGTATCTGAGATCTGCAGTCTCATAGCAATGATGTCGTAACTGCAGTCTTGAAAGGAGGAAAGTTAGTGAAGTTACATGAGATTGATCAAAACTCTTCATCTCGTAAATGGTGTAAAGGATTTGAGTAAGTTCTCTCTAATTTCTGATGGTGCAGTTTTTCTTCCACTACATCATTCTGCCAAAAACAGAGAAACTTGACCCTGTTGTTAATTGGCCAAAAGTCCCTCAGCACAGCTCCAAGTTGAAATCAGTTCATGAATAATACTGCTTTTTATTCGCCTGTGGTCAACAAAGTGGTCAGTGCTGCTTGCTTCGATGAATACACACGTCTTTTGAACAATCCATTTAGTAAAATAGCTGAATAAGCTGCATTGGTTTGTGGGCTCATGGGTATATGTAGAAGTTTATTTGTCTGTATCCTAAAGGATGCACTGGTGGATTGAAAGAATGGATGTGGTTCTTAGTGAGGCCTTCCTTGTTCCAAGAATATTTGACCCTTTAATGTCGAAATTACCTTTATAAAGCTACTGATACTTCAATATATGCTCCCTCATTCAAAGGACAAGTTGGTTTGCTATGGGAGTCAAGGCAGGACTCTCAAATGTCAAGAGTTGCTGCCAGTGTGTAAGTGATTTGAGCCATGTCACTATTCCCTGTGATTCCATCAGTGACCATGATAAGGCTATTAGAACAGTTTCTTAATACTTAGTCCAGATTTTTAAAACAAAGAAGATTATACAAACTGAAGCAATAATTGGGTCAAGAAACTTGAAAACTAAGATGGTTTTCAAAAAGAGTTATCTACATAGCCAAGAGATACTGAGTGAAAATGATTAAATAGAGATTACATCAAGATCAGAGGGGCAGAAGTATTCAGATAATGTCCCAGACTGCACCACTCCAAGTACAATAAACCTGAGGGCAGTTAATACTTCTGATTAGCACACTGTTGCATGGTTCAGGGACCTGCTTGCCATAAAGCTTGTTGTTTTTCTGCAAATAATGCATGATTTAAATGTTATGCTTTGGCTCTGAAGCCACAGTTAAGTAACTGATTAAATAGCCAACACACAGATAAACATCAGGAGTCAAGTGTCCTGTGAAATTTAGGGAAGGAAACTATTATGTTTGTAACTAGCAAAAGCATGCTCGCATGCTTCTGACAGATGCCGTCCTGCGGGGTCTGTCTCATACAGAAACATAAGACTGTTTTCCAAAGTGAAGTTGCAGTATTTGGCCTTCTGCAGGAAGATCTATCCAAAGGTCTGTCGAACATTTTTTTCTTTACTTAGACGAGCCAAGGCAAAGTTGTTGCCCTGCCATGCCGAGAAGCTGTTATCTTTGAGGGCGGTCAAAGCAGTAACTCACATCTCTCATTCCAAGGGTTGTCCCTCTGTTGTCACAGCCCCCAAGACAGGTGTATCATGCCCCTGTTACAAATTGTGAATCTGAGTACTCACAGGGTGGAATGACTTGTTCGGAGCCACAGCCTGGCAGACCTGGAATTTCAATCCAAGAGTCTTTGTGACTCTCTCTCCCAGATCAGATTGTCTTAAGTCTGGAAGGGAATTTAGTGGTAACCTGATCTCGACCATTTACTTTAGAAATGAGAAAATTGAGGTTTTGAAAGATTATTGTTCCCTGCTGTGTGAATGAGTTTATTTTACTGCAAATGTTTAAAGAGAATATAAATCCTGGTGTTTCCAACCTCTGTGACTCGCATCATCCCTGGGTGCTGGCTGTTTGTACTTTGAGGCAGGGTACTTCAGTCAGTCTGGGGAGTTTGTGGGGGCACTAGGGACATCCCTGCAGCAGTGTGACGCGAGCTGCGTCCCCAACATCACCCTCCCCAGGGGCATACCTATCCTCACTGTCACAGGACCCAGAACACACAAGCACCTGGTGACAGTAACACTGGAAGAACTGCCTTGCTAACCAGACATAAAAAGGGGGCAAAAGGCTCAATCTAGAGGCTTCCGGCTACTTCCTCATCTGCGGCCCACCATCCTCCCCCTGCACACTGCTTGCAGGCCACTCGGGATATTAACTGTTTTCAAGGTTGGTTGAAAGCAGCATGAGAGAATTAGAAAGATTTCTTTGGAAACTGTTATCTTGAATAGCATAATATTTTATCTTTTAAAGTCATAATCAAAGGTATATGTTACTGTATCAAATTCCACATCTTTAAAACCTTAATGCTTGTGTTTTTAAAGTGTTTCTCTTTGATATCATGTTGGCTATTGAGGATTATATTGAGTTCAAAAAGTTACTGGTTGCAGGAGCCTCTAAAACTTCCAATTTTGGTACAGTTTCCAGTGCATTTTCTGTAGTTGCATGTGTTGGTTCGATATGTAGTTGCTTTGATACTAGATGCAGACATACTTGTAGACATGTAGCATGTACAGTCATCCAATCTTGATACTCTTCACACTGACTCTTATGTAATATCATTCTACCTTATCACAGCTCTAAGAGAAACCACATTGAATATTCCTGGGGAATGCCTGGGTCTAGTCATGTACCTGATTCTGATCCAACTTCCTGCCAATGCATCTGGGAGTCAGCAGATGGTGGTCCAACTGCCTGAGGCCCTGCCACCCACGTGGGAGACCTGGATTGGGTCCCTGGCTCCTGGCTTTGACCTGGCCCAGCCCTGGCTGTTGTAGGCATTTTGGGAATGAACCAGTGGTATGTGTGTGTCTTTCTCTTGGTGTGTGTGCATCTCCCTCTTTCTCTGTCAGTCTGCCTTACAACTAAATAACTAAGTAAATAAATAAATAAATCACACACAAAGAAATTTCCCTTTGGGTTTAGCTGTGTGTGCCCCCTGCCTGCTGCTAATTGCTGGCTGCTGCTTCATTTCACAAGCACTAACTGAACATAATTGAGCACCTTGGCATAAACAACCAATGCATAAGAAGCAAATGAATGCTGTCCTTGATGGTATGTTTTAAGTCTTCTAGAGTGTCTTGGGTGAGGTGGCAGCCTCTCCCCGTGGTTCTCATGGTGTGGGCTGCAGACCGTGGACATCCCTGGGACCGTGTGAGCAAGTCTACAAAGCAGAACCTATTCCGTGACAACTCGAAGGTGCCCCGGGCCTCTAACATTCGCAGACAGTGCAGGGCAGTGGAGGGTAAAAGGCTGGCAGTGTAACAAACTGCACTGGAGTCACTTTCTTCCTCAGAGTCACCCACTCAAGAAAAGCAAAGCTGGTGTCACTTAAAGACACCATGTACAAGGCTGCCAAGTATCTTCAACACTGCGTGTGACACCACAGAAACTGTGTATTAACAACTTCTGCACACCCACAGGCCATGGTACTCTTAAAGAAATCGCAAGTGTATGATTATCTTCAGTTGTGAGCTGAGAGAGTCTTATGCTCCTCATGAAATACAATCATTGCTTGAAAGAATGATCAAAGGCAAGCTATGGTTATTTAAACTTCAGTTTTTTGAGAGACACTTTCACATTTCCTGTAAAATTTATGAAATTAACCTGGCACTTCTAGAAAAACAAGCGACTGGCACTGTGGTGCAGTGGGTTAAGGCAACGCCGGCATCCCATATGAGTACCAGTTCAACTCCCGGCTGCTCCACTTCAGATCCAGCTCCCTGTTAACGCACCTGGGAAAGGCATGGAAGACAGCCTGAATGCTTGGGGCCCTGCCACCCACATGAGAAATCTGGATGGAGCTCCAGGCAAACAAATGAGAGGCTTCGTTATTCAGACATAATGATGTTTCTTACCAAAGAGGCAGATATGTCTGTCCTTAATACTCAGTGTCGGTATTCTGAGCTTGAGTTTGAACAGAGAGCCCTGGGCAAGCCCTGGGGCTGACGTCAGTGCCCTAGGGAGAGTGCAAGGAAATCTGTTCTGCAGAACCTCACTCACTAAGCTGACCTGCCTGGCACTGGGAGTCCTCACGGGAGACTGACCACTTACCTTCGTCTCTTCTGTGGAATTGGGAAACGTTAGCGTGTAGATGCCACTGGTGGTCAGTCCTGATCTGAATACGTCAGCGCAGTCTCTGAACGTGATTTGTTCTTCTTTAGCCGCAAAGGAGTTCTTAGCTGCTTTAAAAAGAAAAGTATAGCATTTAAATGGCGTTCAGTCAAAAGATCGAAGTTGTTTTAAGGCCCAGTCTGCTGAGTTTGTTACGTTTGAATTCTAATGCCTATTTCCAGCTTTTCTCAAAAAGTTACTCCTCTTATGGTTTTCCTATTAATTCTCAGAGATGGCTGGAAATAAGCCACAGTTCAGTTTTAAAGTCTTCAGCTGTATGTAAGGCAGTACTTGACACTCAGCTGTTGTTTCAGAAGATAGGACAAGGGTGTGCCTGAAGCAGATCAGCATCCCTGGTGCTGTGGCACATCCCTTCAGGCCGTTAGCCCACCCTTTCCCCTAAGTCGTTAATTTGTTTTTAAAATACTGGGTGGAGACATTGAGTAGTCTGGATTTTTAGCCACCATACCATAATAGTTGGCATAATGTTTTACTCTGTCTTCAAAATAATCCTAAGGATATGAAATTCTTTTAATTTTTTATCCACATTGCACTTACCATTCTGTTTTGTCACATTAAAAAAGTGTGTGCGTGCATATGTGTATATTGGACTCTACAGACTGAGGGCAGCCGTCTGCACGGGCTGCAGGGCGAGTGGGCCTCGTCAGCCCACAGGGCACCTCGGCCACCCAGGTGATGGTGGAACTGACTTGGAATGGGCTGCTCATGTCCAGGATGCACAGCGTGTTTGGGGTGATTTCCTTCATCATCAATTAGTATAATGTATGCTCTTCTCCCTCCCTTCTCTTTAGTTCTATATTGAGACCCCTGGAGCTTTCCTGTGAAATATATGAGAGAAATAGTGTCTTTTCCAAAAGATGATTTTTTGTTGTTTTAGAATTTTGAGTTTCACTCGGGAAAAGTGACTTAAACTGAAAGGACAGTGGCACAAGCAGCAGACTCACAGCTGGAGGTGGCTATCATCGTCAGCAGACTGTGCACCGTCTCTGTCAGGTCGTGCTGCTGCTTCTGCAGGGCAGAGTTGTTCACCGTGGCCGTCACCAGCTGTCGTTCGAGCTCCTCAATGATGGAATTCTGCTTGGACACCAACACCTGGAGCTGATCTTTCTCCTCTTTTATTGACTGCAGCTGAACGATGTGCTTATCTTCCATGTCTAGCACTTTCTTTTCTAGGAAACTTGAAATAAAAAATGTCTCTAATTATCTGATTCCCATCAACACCAAGTGCTTTATAGACCTTTAATCGTTTTCATGCTCATAATGAAGTCCTGTATTTTCATGGAATTTCTGCTTTTCTAAGTCACTCAGGTGTTGCCAAAACCCTAAAAATCTCTGACTTGCAGAGATTGGATAAATGCATAAGTGTATATGTGTGCGTGTATCAGTTCACACACATGTGCACACACACAAGACAGATTATCCCATTTTTGTCATTATGGTGATACTTTTTCAAGCAGTAGTGTTGATGAAATGCTTTGTTTGAGAAGGCAAATTTTGAGTTGAGGTGGACTTTTGAGTAGGATCTTAGCTTTCTCCTGAACTATTTATATTTAATGTTGATTCTGTTGATAATAATTACAGCCAGTGTTTCAATGCCATGTGGCAAATCCTCCATGGAGGGTTGAAAACTTTGCCCAGATTCAAATCCTGGCTCACCAGCCCTGTGACTACTCAGTCACTCTTCCATCAACTTCCTCATCTATAAACTGGACATGATGTTGCCTGCTTCATGAAGTTGGTCTGCAGAAGCAGTGCCTTTAAAAATGTAAATGCTTAGATGAGTTCCTGACATGCAGTAACATGTAGAAAATGTCACTAGTTATTATTAATATCAATACTGTTAGCCTCCTTTCCAGTGAGTAATTGGCAGCCTAGAGACAGTGGGTCACACACAGCAGGCAGCAGAGGCAGAATTCAAACCCAGATAATTCTAACTCAGGAGTGTACTCTTTTTTATAGTGTCTACTCCCTTTTTCCTTTGAGAAATTTAATCAGCATTATCTCATATACTTCATACTTAACCCTTAAAATAGTAACTAGGCCCTTGAAAAGCATTCATTTAAATCTGAGAGAGGATATCCCATCTGTAAAAAATAATTTGAAAATTATTTTGGTAGCTGATAAAAGTAACCATCTAAATCTCAAAAGATTTTTATTACACTGGGCTTTTAAATTTCCGTTTAACTTTATATCACGAAGTTAACTTGCTGCTCATATGTGTGTTCACTTAAGAGTGCACCAAATCTAAACTGGAAATGGCCGTTGTCCATTAAGCTGGAGAAGAGGATTGCCAGTGAGCAGTCTGTGTAAACACTGCACGTTTTAAGAATGTTCACTGTTTTCCAACACAGACTCAAAGGCACACGTAGGAAAGGTACTTGGCAGGTTGCTGTTGTTTTTAAGTAAGACGCAGAGGAACACTGGGTCGCCTGGCACTTGGTGATAAATCTTGCTGTCTGTTTGGTCACTACTTTATTCAGTACTTAAGAGGCTTCCTCTGATAACTGCAGGAAGAGCAGCAACCCAGGGCCCTTCAAGATCTTCGTTCTGTTTGTACAAGGATGGTAAATAAAGCATTCAAGATACAGCCACTTCTAAAAAATAGTAAAATAGTAAACCAGATGTCAAATCCTATCTCTGACATTTCCCCCTCAATTTAGAGTTTAGCAGAAGTGAGTTTACCCTCCAGTCTGAAGGGAACAGGCCCTCTAATGCCTTTCAGAGCCATCTGATCATCACTTATCTTCTCTAAGATAGATATATGACTGATGGCTCCTTCATGCTTCAGAGGTCTTTTGAAGCCACTGACAAATTTCTGCAACCTCCACTCAATAGCTGTGCATGCACTAGCGAAATGCTCCCATCAGTTGTTGGAGTTTTATGGAGGGGGGCCAGCAATGTAACTGGAAAAGCCGCCTGCTGCCATGCCGGCATCAGCTGCCGCACTTCCAATCCAGACCCCTGCTAATGGTCTGGAACAAGCAGCAGAAGATGGCCCAAGGGTTTAGGCCCCTGCACCCACGTGGGAGACCCAGATGAAGCCCCTGGCTCCTGACTTTGGCTTGGCCCAGCCCTAGCTGTTGCTGCCATCTGGGGAGTGAATTAGCTGATGGAAGATCAATCTCTCTCTCTCTCTCTCTCTCTCTCTCTAATTCTCCCTTTCAAAATAAACAAATCTTTTAAAAAAAAAAAAAAAAAGCCTTATGGCAGTGGAGGAAAATTATTCTCTCTACTTGCTTGGTGGAGACAACTTGAACTAGGCATTTAATTCTGCCATGAATTATTTAAGTCTCTGGGATCCCTTGCAGTTATTTTTGTGGGGAAGGAAAGCAAGTGAAATCAGTGTGCAGGTTTCCCTGAATGGGCTAAGCTGACTTGTCAGGTTTGGGTTACACCTTAACTTGGTGTTACATTTTCAGAAAAGATGTGTGGAACACCTGTCATGGATATAGTGTTTTTTTAGGGTTTTGCAGAATAATCCGGAAGTAAAAAAAATCACTGACCATACTATTATGATGCTGAAAACTGAGGTGTTTGATGGTTTTCATGCCATCAAATGACGATGCTACATATGTGCCCATTGGAACATGCAAGGCCCATAAATAGAAGTTATCACGTGGTGTGCATGTGAGTACCATGAGGACCCTGAGAAGTCACCCTCAGAGTCCAGCGCACCTGTGGGAAAGTGGAGGCAACCTCCGCACTCTGTGGATCTCAGTGTGTGTGTCTGTTTATGAGGTCGTCCACCTGGCTGTCCAAGTAAGTCTCTGTCTAAAGGGATGCCATTGGGGTTGATGGTCTCTGGGCCCCTCAGGGGATCTCTTACTCAATTGTGGATTTTTTGGCAGTAACATTTGCTGATCATTAACCTAGCAAACAACATGAACTAGGCAAGGCACTAACTACAAATGACAAGTCTCGTACATGACTAATAACAGTGTTAATAATTCATTTTATCGCAGCCCTCTGAGTGTAAATTGGTATATGACCATAAATATGTGTATTGTCAGTGTACCACATCAGCAAATCAACACTGTAATACAGTCATTGGTGTTAGATTTTCATCTGTTTTACCACATCCCTTTTCTGCTATTTCTTAATATTATCCTCATATCAGCTGACTTGTATGTCACTTTCATTAATTTATAAACAAAGAAAACTTACCATAAGCAACCTAAAAGTAAATGCATTGTTTTTGTTTTTCTATTTAGTATCATTTTAGTCTCACTAGCATAAGGGCAGTTTGGATAGACTCCCATAATGCTTGACCAAAAGAATCAGCACAAAATATATGGGGTACCTGTAAGACATTAATTTGTACTGTCTTCAAAATGATGTTGCTAAAGTTTCTGGTTCTACCCTCTTTGGATGTTCTTAATAATCTATAGGAGAGGATGAAAGACAGATGGGGCAGTCACAGTCCACAGGGTGAACTGGAGCTCAACACTTAGGGATCAAAATAGAACAACAGCTTTGGGGCTGGCGCCATGGTTCACTTGGTTAATCCTCCACCTGCGGCGCCAGCATCCCATATGGGCGCCGGGTTAGAGTCGGGGTTGCTCCTCTTCCAGTCCAGCTCTCTGGTGTGGCCCGGGAGTGCAGTGGAGGATGGCCCAAGTGCTTGGGCCCCTGCACCTGCATGGGAGACCAGGAGGAAGCACCTGACTCCTGGCTTTGGATCAGCGCAGTGCCAGCTGTAGCGGCCATTTGGGGAGTGAAGCAACGGAAGGAAGACCTCTCTCTCTCTCTGCCTTTCTTCTCTCTGTGTAACTCTGACTTTCAAATAAATAAATAAAAATCTTTAAAAAAAAATAGAACAGCTTTGATTTCTTTTTCCTAAGCCTATACCAGTATAGCTCAAGAGGGCAGTCACATCCTGATCTAAAATGAAAGACAAGATGAAATCTTATCTTTAATCTAAGATGAAGTAAGAACATGTATTGAAGAATGATGCCCGCAACCTGAACATCCCAACCAGCTGGCTCTGAGCATAAACAGCACATGCATTGCACACAGCAGCACTGGTCCTTGCATTTAAAAGCAGTGAGGAGTTGGAGGGATCACAGTTTGGAGTAGCATTTTGCAAAATGCAGATCAGAACCCAGGAGTGGACTGTGAAATCAGTTTTGTAAGTTGCAGCTTACATTTTTGAAAAATGAAATCAAAATGGGACAAAACAGATGAAGATACAGGGCAAATTCATAGCCACACCTTGGTACATTACAAGAAAGAGCATGGCCACAGGGGCAGACATGGGGATGCATGCATTGGCCGAAGGAACTGGTTTGACATTTGCTCATTAATATCCTGTTTGGTTTCCTAATTAAGAGTGATCAGCATGGTCAACTCTGTGAAAGTTGGGTTTAGGTATAGCTTAATTTTATATAGACATAATTCATGGTTAGCTGAGAAGTGTGGGGAAATGCTTTGCTGTGTCAGCAGAAACATCACGCATTTAAGCCACATTGCTCCCGAGTTTGCCTCACTTCAGAAGAGGACAGTATCAATGGCCACTTACTGCAAGGTGATGGCAGTACTCACAGTTTAGATGAGTCAGCACCCATGATCCCTGAGTACGTTAGTTACAAGGAAGAACAGATAGTAAGGTGAACAGATGCATAGCAGTATTCAATTCAGCTGGTGAATCTAGAAGTATATTAGAAGCTTAAATACTATATTTAAAATGTGGTCTGTCAAGGGCCAAACACTATTTGCGTATTTTTGTAGTGATATTCTTGCAAGTAAGATTGAAGTCCAAAGTTTAGGCCAGAAGAGACAGCATGCCAGACTCACTGAAGGATAGAAAATCATCAACACAGTTTTCGTAGTATTTAGAGCTATTGATAAGAAAAATCGTGCTTTTATTTCACTCTGATAGAAGGAAATTTCCACAGCTGCTAAAAAGGTTATGCTTCCTGCGGGTACATGTGGCTTTCACCGACAGCCAGCTGATGAAAGCTGAACCTCTTCAGACCTGTACCAGTCCTAGGAGATCATTCGGCGCTGGCTTCTGTCCAGCCCCACTGAGTTAGATTGTAAAGCACTAGTGTTGCAAGTCACATAAAATCTTAGGTATGTTTGACAAGGTATGTTTATGGAGAAAATGTGATGTTTAAATTTAATCCATATAAAACTACATTTGAGTTATTGAAAAAGTGCATTATTGGTAGTGTAAGTTAGAAAGTAGGGGGAAAATAGGCAAGACTTAAGTAAAAAAAAAAAAAAAAAAAAATAGAATGACTCCATAAGAAAGAGTAGCCAGAAAGCACAACAAGCTACAGCATGCTTGGAATCTCTACTCCATACAAAATCCAGACATAGTTTTTCCATAATACATATTTCTCATGAGTGTTTCTGAAGACTTCTCCTGTACATGATGTCAAATTTTTAAAGATATTTATTTAGTTATTTGAAAGAGCAACTGCAAGAGAGAGAGAGATCGATTTTCGTTCCACTGGTTCACTCCTCAAATGACCACAACAGCCTTGACTGGGCTAGTCCAAAAGCAGGAGTCAGGAACTCCTTCCTGGAATCTGACATGGGTGGCAGGGATCTAAGTGCTTAGGCCATCTTCCACTGCCTTCCCAGGTGCCCTGAGCGAGCTGATTTGGAAGTCAAGCAGCTAGGACTTGAACTGGCACTGAAATAGAGGATACCAGTGTCACAAGGAGTGGCTTAACTCCTTTGCTACACCAGCTAACCCCAAGAATTTTGAAACTTTTGTGCATCAAAATAACCTTCCCTTTAAATTCTACTTTCCATAGACTGTTTTGGAGTAGCGCCATACGTTGTGAAGCTTTGACATACAAAGAAATTTCACCAAATCAAGCAATGATGAAAAAATGTAGTTAAAGTTGTTGGATGTATTTCAAAGCATATCACTAGATGACTGCCATTGTACAACAGTCTGCTTGTTATAAGTAGTGTGACTTAACTAAGGAATAAGGGTCACACCTTTGTGGGTAAACGGTGACATGATTTTCCAGGCATGGCCAGCCCTCCATATCTGCAGATTAAGCCAGCCATGGATTGCAAACATTCAGACAACTGAACACGTACAGGGGTTTTTCTTTTCTTGCCCTCATTCCCTCAATAGGAGGGGTCTTCAAAAAGTTCCTAGAAAGTACATATCTTTGATACATACATTGGATTTCAAAAGTTTTGGCATTAAAATAAACTTAATTCCATTTCTTTACCAACTTTTTGAATTATGCACTGTAGCAACCATTTACATGGTATTCACATTGTATTAGATCCTAAGTAGTCTAGAGACAATGTAAACTGTTTGGGAATGTGTGTGCAGATTATATGGAAATTCTTCACCAGTTTGTATAGGAGACTTGAGCATCTTTGAATTTTGGTGTCTGAGGGATTCAGGAAGTAATCCCTCACAGATACTGAATTGTGTGTGGGGGGAGAAACTACTTTTTCAAAAGATTTATTTATTTATTTGAAAAGAGTTACATAGAGAGAGAAGGAGAGACAGAGAGAGAGAGAAAGAAGTCTTCCATCTGCTGATTCACTCCCCACTGGCCACAATGGTTGGAGCTGCATCAGTCCGAAGCCAGGAGCCAGGAGCTTCTTCCAGGTCTCCCATGCAGATGTAGGACCCCAAGGACTGGGGCCATCTTCTACTGCTTTCCCAAGCCATAGCAGAGAGCTGGGTTGGAAGTGGAGCAGCCAGGCCTCAAACCAGCGCCCATATGGGATGCTGGCACTGCAGGCAGCAGCTTTATCTGCTACACCACAGCCCTGGCCCCAAGACAACTATTTTAAAAAATGATTCTTGGGGGACCAGCACTGTGGCACTTTGTTCTTGTCCTGGCTGCTCCACTGCTGATCCAGCTCCCTGCTGATGCGCCTGGGAGAGCAGCAGAGGATGGCCTGAGTGCTTGGACCTCTGCACCCATTTGGGAGACCCAGAAGAAGCTCCTGGCTCAGCTACAGCCTGTTGAAGTCATTTGGAGAGTGAACCAGTGATGGAATCTCTCTCTCTCTCTCTCTCTCTCTCTCTCTCTCTCTCCTTCTCTGTGTAACTCTATTTTTCAAATAAATAAAATCTTTTTTAAAAAATGATTTTGGGGCCGGCGCCGCGGCTCACTAGGCTAATCCTCCGCCTAGCGGCGCTGGCACACCAGGTTCTAGTCCCGGTCGGGGCGCTGGATTCTGTCCCGGTTGCCCTTCTTCCAGGCCAGCTCTCTGCTGTGGCCAGGGAGTGCAGTGGAGGATGGCCCAGGTGCTTGGGCCCTGCACCCCATGGGAGACCAGGAAAAGCACCTGGCTCCTGGCTCCTGCCATCAGATCAGCGTGGTGCGCCGGCCGCAGCGCGCCGGCCGCAGCGGCCATTGGAGGGTGAACCAACGGCAAAAGGAAGACCTTTCTCTCTGTCTCTCTCTCTCACTGTCCACTCTGCCTGTCAAAAAAAAAAAATGATTTTGGGTGACATAATCTATGTATCTAACTGATATGCATGCAGCATATTGCATTTGAGACTTCAGGGCAGGAACTGTTCAATACTAGGATATGCTCAAGAGAAGACATATCTCAGATTCCTGAAAGACATAGTTATGACAAAAAGAAAGAATATAGAGGGGGAAGGAGGGAGAGACAGTCAAGGCAGACAAGGAGTATAAAGGAGAAATGGAAAGAAAGGGAAAGGCAAGGCGAGAAAGAGAAAGGAAGGGAGAGGAAGGGAAAGAAAGGAGGAGAGGGGAGAGACGGGGAGAAGAGGTACAGCAGTTGAGAGACATGCATCCATAACAGAGTCTGGGTTCCAGGCCCAGCTCCACTTCCGACTCCCGCTTCCTGTTGATGAGAACCTTGGGAAGCAGCCTGTCACGCATGACTCAAGTACTTGGGTTCCCGTATGCCGTGTGGGAGACCAGATTAAGTTTCGGCTCCTAGTTTCAGCCTAGCCCAACCCTGGCTGTTGTAGGCCTTTGGGGCAGAGAACAAACCTATCAGAAATCTCTGTCTTTCTGTGTCTCTGTCTCGTCTCTCTGCCTCTGGAATAAATAGAAATAAATACCATTTTAAAAAGTGAACACTGCTTTGTAAAATGCATGCTTGTGATGAAGACTGTGCGCCACAATTGTGAAAGTCACCATGTGAGTAGAAGAAACATGGGTGTGGCTTTTACTCAGAGTAAAGGGAGGCTGGCAGGCCTTTGGTGTGGCAGTTAAGGTGCCACTGGGGATGCTCTCCTCCATCAGAGTGCCTGCGCTGGCATCCCAGCTCTGCTCCGATTCCAGGCACCTGCTAATGCAGACACTGGGAGGCAGCAGGTGGTGGCTCAGGTAGCTGGGTCCCTGCCAGTGGCTTACACTGGACATGAAGAAAGCCATCATTCTGGAAGCCATACTTAGAATTAAAAGTCATGCAAGATAAGCCCTTGTGTTTGGCAGAGGCACAACTCTGAGTCACAGATATTTTTGCATTATGATTACCTGTTCTTGTCCTGCAATTTGTTTATTTCACTGGTCTGATCCAAAATCTGTTTTTCCAATTTGTTTGTAGAGAGGGAATGTTCTAGAAGCTGAAGTTCAAGTCTTGTCGTCTGATTTAATACCTAAATGTAACAAAATGAAATTCCTATTATTATTATTGTAACTTAATTATTATTCAAATTACAAGAAAGCATAACTAAAACATTATTAACCCAAGGATCTTATTTTAGCATATTTTTCATTTTCAGAAAAGGCTTGATGGATTACATCTGAATTTGTTGAACTTTTTTTTTCCACCATATTTTTATGTTGGAAGGTGTCAGTAGCTCTGAACAATGGTATTTGTGTCAGATAATACAATTGTTATTTTTCCAGTTCTGCCATTTCTTTTCACACAGAGACTAATAGGAGTATAAAATAGTCATATTTCAAAGATCAAAAGTTGTTGATAAATGAAAAGTATTTTCACTCTGCTGAAAACAAAATGCTATTCTCCTATTTATTTGTTTGTGAGTAGACAAAGGGATTAGAAGTCAGTCACATGTTTCCATTATATACAAATACAACATATTTTTAGCCTAGCATTTCCTAGTTTGTATCCACTTGTGTAGCCTTTTATTTTTTCTTTGCCATTTTTCTTGTTCCCATTTTAAAAATAGTTTCAACCAATTAGGAAACAATACAATGTCAATATAATGTGGCAGCTCGGGTTTGTTCCATGGGCTCTTCTGATGTGTGACATGTGCAGTATCACTTTTCCCATTGTACTCAGGCAACTTGAAAGACGGATTCTTGAGCGCTTGGCTGCCTTCAGCCCGCAGGAAGATGGATTACTCACATCCTGCGGCTCCTGGTTATCCAGGACGTGATGTCACGTGTAAATGTAAGTCAGAATTGTTGCCAAGGAATCCAGGCCTTGAAAGAATCATTGTTTGTTCCATGTCTTTGTCATTCTCAAAAGCCAAGGTCTGGCCCACAGCCTGTCTCTCAGGGTGGCCAGACTTTAGTCAAAGCCAGTTGCATTCATACCATGTAAACAAAGGCATTGGCTAACCTAGAGGTTTCGGTTTAATATTTACACCTGGAATATGGATTTGGTCTACATCTTCTTTGGGTGTAAACGTTATTTTTTAATTTCTAAAAGGAACTGGAAGCTTGAGCCTCGTGTTTGATTCATAAGGACAGTTTGAAAGAGAGGCAGGGGAGGGTGGTGTTTGACCCTGGAGTAACTCCTGTAACTTCTGCCATCATTTTTCTGAAGACAATGGTACAGTTCCATGGGCTTCAAGTCCTCCATTTGGTTTATACAGGAGATGGCCTAAATTATCCAGGTTGGTCACGGTCCACTCTCTTTTAAGATCTCCGACTTCCACCACTGATCACCACCTAATGGCCACTGTGACAGGTTAAAAGAATCTTGCGGGGCTGGTGCCGTGGCTCACTTGCTTAATCCTCTACCTGTAGTGCCAGCATCCCATATGGGTGCTGGGTTCTAGTCCCGGTTGCTCCTCTTCCAGTCCAGCTCTCTGCTGTGGCCCGGAAGGGCAGTGGAGGATGGCCCAAGTGCTTGAGCCCCTGCATCTGCATGAGAGACCAGGAAGAAGCACCTGGCTCCTGGCTTCGGATCAGTGCAGCGCCGGCCGTAGCAACCATTTTGGGGGTGAACCAACGGAAGGAAGACCTTTCTCTCTTTCCTCTCTGTCTGTCTCTCTCTGTCTATAACTCTACCTATCAAATAAATAAATAATAGTTTCTTTAAAAAAAGAATCTTGCTTCTAATCAGAAATTTGCATTGTTTAAAAGATTTTTTTTTTTAATTTGAAAGGCAAGTTACACAGAGAGAGGAGAGACATGGAGAGAGATCTTCCATCTGCTGGTTCACTTCTAAAATGGCTGCAACAGCCAGCGCTGAGCCAGGCCAAACTCAGGAGCCAGAAGCTTCTTTCAGATCCCCCACATGGGTGCAGGGGCCCAAGGACTTGGGCTGTCCTCTGCTGCTTTCCCAGGCACGGTAGCAGGGAGCTAGATTGGAAGTGGAGCAGCCAGAACTTCTATATGGGATGTCAGTAATACAGGCAGCAGCTTAACCCACTACAACACAGTGTCAGCCACAGAAATTTGCATATTTGAATTTAAAATTATTTCATAGGGTAACTACTCAACACCTGCCTTCAAGTGGATTGGTGACGTAAATCAGTCCCCTGATTTCTTTCCTTTGACTCAGCCATTTCATTGTGTGTATTTAGACTTTTTAGGTCATTTTCCTACTGTTCTGTTATCTGGATTATGATATCTAATTTTCCAATAGGCACTTTTTTAAAAAAAATTATTTAAGTAATATCAAACTTAATGCATTTCATTTATACAAATGTGGGAACATGGTGATTCTTCCTACCCTGCCTCCCTCCTGCCCATAGTCCCACCCTCCTTCCTCCTCCCTCTCCCATTCCCATTCTTATTTTTTACACAGATCTATTTTCACTTTAAAAAAAAAAAAAGTCATGTGACTCAGCAAAAGCAGGTTAAGTGCTAACAAGTGTGACTGATGCAGGATGTGGCAGAGATTGGCACCATTGTGTGTCACTTAACGCTTTTTAGTACATTTGTCTGAAAACCCAAGAAGCATGCTACATACTCCAGGAGCCTGATGGCCCAGCACGTTCAGTGTGGAGAGCTGGGACTGCGACTTGCTCACACGGAGGTACTTCAGTCATTGACTGTGGGTGGACCCGTGTTTGTTTTTAGGTTGTTGTGCCTTTTCATTTTCTGCTTTTGTTACCTCCAGTGATCAAAGTTTTAGTGCCTTATGACCTCCCTGTGCAAAAAATTTTTAATGTTTCTCCCAAACTATTCTTTGTTAAATGAAAGACTTGGTAGTCAAATTTGTAAGTCTGTCTTCATATAAAAGCCTTTTATTCTTTCTCTCTCCTGTTTTCTCTTTCTCATCCTTTAGTTTGTAGAGAGACATGAACCAACACCTGTTCTGTGCCGGAAGGGGACCACCTAGGGAGGGACACCTGATGGCTTCTCTTGTCTCACATCCCCTCCTGCATGGTGTGGAACATTTCTTGTCAGCATAGAATCTTAAAGACCAAAGAGAACTTGGCAGTCAGTGGTCTGGCCCAGCCTTTGCTTCTATAGTTCCGACCACTGAGGTTTGGACAAGGTAAGTGCCTTGCTTAGGTATACTCACGTGGTCAGTGTCGGAAATTGGAGCCATGGCTGACTCGGCTGGGCTCCTACTTATGCTGCAGCTGCTGCGGCTCCCACTCCAGTCTGTTTCTCTCTCTCCCTTTGCCTCAGTTCTTTTAATTTCTTAAAGGCACAAATGTTATAGGACTTAGAAATGGAAGCACTCTGCAGAGTCCAGCTTTGAACAACATGACAGTGACCTGAAGGTGCTTCACAGGACGAATCTGATTTGACCTCAGTGTTGCGAATGAAAGCATATTTATTGACTTTAAGTTCACAACGAGCCGTAAATGCTTAACTTTGTGCAAGCTCCTCTTTTTTCTCTCTCAGTGCAACTTCCTTTATTTCCCATTGTTTCACTGAGGAGCCACACAGCTCGACAGCACTGATCTCTTATCTGTGTGGACCCTGTGCAGGTTATACTCAGGGCTGTCACCTACTTGGGCTTCCACGTCCGTCAGTTTCCGTGTCTGCTCTGCTGTCTGATTCAGCAGGTTGGTTCCTATCTCTATCATCACGGCCGTCTGGTTCTGCACTGCGTTCTGCTGTATCTCCACCATTTCCTTCTTCATGTTGTCCTGGATGTAATTCTCCAGCTAGAAAAGAGTGGGGTTGGGAGGGTGGTCATTAGTCCAGTGATCAGAAACCTCATTCCCAGTGTGTGTCGTCTCTTCCCTGTCCAGCTGGAGATCTGTGCCCTGCCCTGGTTTTGAAATCTTACTAGGCTGTTTTGTTTTTATCACCAGTAGTAAAATACAGTGAGACTTTATTTCTACTCAAAATCTAGAAACAGTAGCATCATGGATAAGAAAGAGACAGCCTACTCCTTGTCTCAGTGCACCTGTGGGAGTTCACCTCGCGCCAGGCCCCGCAGACGGGCCCCACTCAGGGTGGGCAGCTGGGGGTGAGAGGCAGCAGGTTGGACCGCTGGGGTTTGCTGCTTAGATGTTGTGTCTGTTCTGCCAGGCTGCAGCTCTGCTTATGTTATGCAGGTAATGAAAATCTCGTACTGAGAAACATCACTGTCTGCCACATTCTAGGCTCCAAAACACAGACTTTAGAGCTCTCTAAGACGGACTGTGATTCTTCTCCATGACCTACAGGGTCACTGCTCAGGTGCACGCTCTGGGGTACTCTCCCCCTTCCTTCCTGTTGAGCACATTAGACCTATTCACTTGTCCCTGTCAGGCCTGCACTTTCCACAGCTTCACCCTTTGGAGCTTATGCAAACCTTTGATCCACTCTGGTCCATCCACCACTCAACAAGCCTCAGGACTGGCTCTTCTCCCTCGGTTGCTAAGAGCAGTGTGCCAGCCGCTTTGGTTTGGAGGTGGATTGTCCTGCAAAGACAGGTGCTGAAGCTCGGTCTTCACAGTAATGGTACTGAGAGGTGGGTGGGGCTTGGTGGGATACCATTGGGTCATGGGGTCTCTACCTTCTGAAGAGACTAATGCACCTTGCAGCCGTGGGTTAAGGACCTCGAGAGTGGATCATATGAAGGGAACATGGCTCACATGTGTATACTGCCCTTGTCTGCTTCTGCTTCTCCTGCGTGGTGTGGCACCACAGGAGGCCCCTCCAGAAGATAAGCAAGTGCAGGCACTGTGCTCTGAGACTTTCCTGCCTTCAGAACTGTGAGCACAAATAAATCTCTTTTCCTTATAACTCTCCCAGCCTCGGGTATCTTGTTATAGCAACACAAAATGGACTGTGACACTAATTTAAGAATTAGCCTAAATACAAGAAAATGAAGAAGCTAATTTCACTGCAGTAGGTGTTGATACCTATATTTATGGAAATAATTATACAACTGTATATAAGTGCAGGACAACCTGTTAACATGGGAAAGGTATGTGGTTTGGACCTTAGAAACAAGGTAACTTGTCTCAGCTTTTGGGACCTTAATTGCCTTACATATAAAATAGGGTCTCTGATTGGTTAAAGGAGTGTTTGTTGTTCTTGCTGGTTTTTTTGTTTTGCTTTTAAAGATTTACTTTATTTTGATTTACTTATTTTGGAAAGATTTTATTTTGAAAAGACTTATTTTGAAAGACTTTGAAAGTCTTATTTTGAAAGTCTTTGAAAAGAATTTATTTTGAAAGACTTATTTTGAAAGATTTACTTATTTTGAAAGGCAGAGTTAGAAAAGGACAAACAGAAAGGGAGAGAGAGGGGGAGAGAGCTCTTCCATCTGCTGGTTTACTCCCCAAATGGCTGCAGCGCCCAAGGCTGGGCCAGGCTAAAGCCAGGAGCTTCTTCCAGGTTGTCCACATGGGTACCAGAGACCTAGTATAGACCAACTTCCACTGCTTTCCCAGGTGCATTAGCAGGGAGCTGGATTGGAAGTGGAGCAGCCAGGACTCAAACCAGGGCCCATATGGGATACCAGCACTCTAGGCAACGGCTTAACCTGCTGCACTACAGCGCTTGTCCCTAAAGGATTGTTTTAATACCATTATGCATTAATAACTTCATGTACTTAAAGTTTAATTTCTTTTCTATAATTATCCATTGATGAAAGCCACTGTTTTGCTGATTGGCCCAAACTGTAGGAAAACAGACACTGTATTTTTATTCCTTTTTCAGGTAGTATAACAACAACTTTTATAAAATTGAATTTGAGAGTTAATTATAAAACAACTTATGGAACTTTTTAAAAAAATTTTAAATCTGTTTTCACTTTATTTGAATGACAGAGAGGGATGTAGACAATCTTCCATCTGCTGGCTTACTCCCTAAATGCTCACAACAACCAGGGCTAGACAAGGCTGAGACCCAGAGCCTGCACTCCATCTAGGTCTGCCATATACATGGCAGGGGCCCAAGGACTTCAGCCGTCATCTGCTGCCTCCCAGGGTCTGCATTAGCAGGAAGCTAAGTCACAAGCAAGGGAACTGGACCTTAAACCAGGCACTCACTCCAATATGGGATGCAGGTATCCCACATGATGGCATAACCACACCATGCCAAACACCCACCCCTAGTGCCTTTCTTTAAAACTTGAAATTCAGAGGCCAGCGCTGTGGTGTAGCCAGTGAAGTCACTGCCTGCAATGCCAACGTCCCTTATGGGTACCGGTTTAAGTCCTAGATGCTCCACTTCCAATCTAACTCTCCACTATTGCCTGGGAAAGCAGTAGAAGATGGCCCAAGTGCTTGGGCCCCTGCACGCACATGGGAGACCCCAAAGAAGCTCCTGGCTCCTGGTTTTGGATCAGCTCAGATCTGGCTGTTGAAGCCTTTTAGGGAGTGAACCAGTGGATGGAGGATTCTCTCTCTCTCTCATTTTCTCTCTCTCTCTCTCTCTAACTCTACCTGCCAAATAAAATAATAAATCTTTAAAAAAAAAACTTAAAATTCACTACCAGCTGTTCATTGAGGCAACCATCAAACATAATCTCTCCTAAAATGTTAACTGCTAAATAATTCTGTTCCTCTGCCTTTAGACAGTAGAAGGAGTGTGGTTTCTCAGTGTTCAAGGGTTCCCTTATGGTTCAGTTTATAAGATGTGCCTTACAATTGGAATTGCATGGAACTGTAAGCTTACTGTATCCATTGCCTGTTTGCCATCAGCTTTGTCTCTGCTCCTCTCAGCTTCCTTTCTCCCTCCGTCCTACCTGTCTTGGAAGTACATGTCTCTCCCTGGTGACTTCTTCCTTAGCTACTGGGCTGATCAAGTCAGCATGAACCTTGACCATTACTAGAGCTCTGGTCCTTTGTAAAGTCATGTAGTTGGAGTTGCCTTCTCTATGTGAATCAAAACAGACCACTGTACGTGTGTGTGTGTGTGTGTGTGTATGTTTATATGTGTATAGACCAAGTACTACTACTTGACAGTCTAACAACTGTTGCTACTATTGGCTTCATAAAGTTTGAAGAATCTAATATCCTTGTTAACCCCATATCAGACCTGACTTAGGTTTTTTATTTATTTTTAAGAGATTTATCTATTTGTTTATTTAAAAGATACAGTGACAGAGAGAGATTTTCCATCTATTGGTTCACTCCCCAAATGCTTGCAAGTGCTCAGGTTGAGCCAGGGCAAAGGCAGGGGCCAGGCACTCCATCCTGGTTTCCCACATGGGTGGCAGGAACCCAAGCACTTGGACCATCATCTCATGCCTCCCAGGTGCATTAACAAGAAGCTGGATCAGAATCAGAGTAGCCAGGACTTGAATCAAGCAATCGGATATGGGATGTGGGAATTCCAAGCAGTCCTTTTACCCCCTGCATGGTAATGCCTGTCACTGGTTCAGGCTTTTTATCTTTGTGATCTCTCATAATTCCTGCTTTCCTTGGCTCCCCTCCCCCACCTTTAAAAAAACAAATTTTCAGTATTGAAATGCACTATTTAAATCATGGAGAGAGGTTTATGGTTTCTCCCTCCCCCTTCACCATGAGAGTAATGGAATTATTGAGGATAAGCTGTGTGTCAGCCAGCGGAATTTGTCTTGGTAACTTGGTTACTGTTAACACCCAGCAAAGATAATATTTAGAAAGATTTACTCTAGGACGCTTGGACCTATAAAGATGTGCTCAAGTTGGAGTTTAGCTTAAATCCATAGTCAGAGACAATGCTTTACAAACTACTATAAAAAAGGAGTCATAACCTTTTTATTGGTTTTAGTACTTAACAGCTGAATTAAAATAATTCTGTTTTTACACTGTAAATCATACAAGCAGAGCGGAAAAATTATCCCCTCTAACACCTCCAGCCCCTTCCCTGCATTTCTGCCTACTGGGTCAAATGTGGCTGCAGCATGAAGAGACATGAGAGGATTGCTTGTCCTTTGAAATCTTGCATTCGAGTTTAATTTAAAATTAGTCTTAAGGACTTTAGAAGACATCAGGCCTAATTTTTATGAATAAGATTTAACAGCATTGCCATATCTTTTTCAAAGTTTGAAAACAACAGACTGCAAAATGGTTTTGAATCACCACTTTTCACCCTTTTCACCTTTACAGGGTGAAAATGTATATCTCCGTGGGTGTGTGTGTGTCAGTGTTACATTGCAGAAGAAAACAGACACTTGTATAGGAGTGATAGGTGTGTTTGTATACAGATACTGTGTATATGTTGTGCACATATGCAGTATGTGTGGTGCCTATCACAGCTTTTTTTTTTTTTTTTAAGATTTATTTATTTGAAAGGCAGAGTTAGAGAAAGAGATTGAGATCTTCCATCTGCTGGTTCACTTCCCAAATGGCTGCAACCGCAGGGGGTGGGCCAGGCCAAAGCCAGGAGTCAGGAGCTTCATCCAGGTCTCCCACAGGGTGCAGGGAACCAAGCGCTTGGGCCATTCTCCGCTGCTTCCCCAGGCTCATTAGCACAGAACCGGGTCAGAAGTGATGCAGCGGGGACTTGAAAGTGGCACCTATATGATATGCCAGCATCGCAGTCTGTGGTTTAACCCGCTACACCACATACTGGCCCGGTCACAACTTTTAAAGCAGATGTTGTTTAAATAAAGTAAACATATGCATGATACCAACCTATGTGCTAACTAATTAAAGTCTGAGAGAAACAGGAACAGAAATGTCAAGTAGTACATCTTTTGTGATGATACAAAAAGTTGTCCATCTGAGGAACCTCATTT